TCTTGACAACCTGTCGGTTTTATCCTGTGGGTTTTCATGTTTGTGTGACGGTAGACACAAATCAGCAGACAAATCTTGATCTCCCAGAGTATTTTTCTAGATCTGACGTATTCTTTTGTGAAGCGCACCAGAGTATGCCGCATAACCCAGTGCACTACAATCACGAAAATCACCAGTGATATTTAGCGGCCACCTTACCTCGGTCTGCATTTTGAAAGCTCCACTGCTTCTTTCTGTTGCAAATCACGGTCATGAATGACTGCCATTCTGTACTCTGTTCTATGATGATGTGTAGCTTTGCTATGCGATCATCACTTTATTTGCTTTTTCCTGAATCCACCCTGTTTCGAGTAGAGTCGTGCATACAGTGTTTCTTCACTGTCTCCAAGATTACTCTAATTTATACTATACTGCAAGTGTACAGGGTGTGTGTTTCTGTGCCATCCTTTTGCAAAGGCTTAGATCTCCGTTCTTTGAGAATCTTTGTAAGGTGGGGCTTTTTCCAACTGGTGGACACCTTACCTTCCTTCCAAACCACCTTCAATAGTGGCAGAAGCATATCAACTGGGGACTGTTCTCAGTGCCACAGGAAGAACTCCGTCTGGTCCTGCTGCTTTTACGGATTTCACTAACTTAATGGTACTCAAAACTTCTGCTCCTGTCTGAACATTAATGTTCATTGGCGCTTCTGCTACTGCTTGTGGTATTTCTGTACAGGCTGAAGGTGGATATCGGTTCAGCAATCCTTTGAAGTGATTAGCCAAATGTTTTCCCTATTTTGTAATTTGGTAATGAGGTCACCTTCTCTATCTTCTATCAGTGAGTCATTCTTTGTTTTGCCCCTTCTTCTTTTCTAAGGCGTCACACAGCTTTCAGGGAGTTCAGTATCCCTCTACGAAATTTTGCTTAATGTTTATGACCCCTTTTGCAAATACACTGAATTTAACTTTTGTAGCTTCGACCTTCGGTTGCTTGGTGGGGAACTTGCGGTGTATCTCTAGCTTCATTTAAAGGTTTCAGGTTGATCACAAAAGTTCTTTACGTAAGACTGTGGTTTGAGGCTGTCTCTTCTCTTTCCAATCACGTATCATGGTTAAAACCATCGCAAATAAACAGGCCACTTCATGGTCGCTGAGGCAATGTGGTCGACTGACATCCTGGATCTTCTCTCCGCACTCAGCTGTTATATGTGCCTACACTTGGGAAGTCTTAAGGAAATGTATGGTGAATTCATGTTTCCATTGATGATCCATACAGTCGTCCACTGCCTTTTATTTCTGCGCATTATGAACACTCAATACATATAATCATTCTAACCAAAAATTTTCGAAGACTGTACTGTTGTGGCCAAGTTGCCAGCACTAGGACATTAAGAGTTATAATTAGGAACAACTGCCAGTAAACGGATCCCGATTTCAAATAATAAAGTAGAATGCATTTCCACCTGCAAAAAACATTGTGTACCTTCATACATATATGTATATATATGGACAAACAATTGTTAATAAGTTAGTGCTGGATTGAAGGGAGTGCACAACAGCTTTGAATACACCCCTTTCCTTTATTGGTCTAAAGGTAGAAACACAATTCATTTCATTTACCGTATCGTAATTTTACTAAGAATATCGTTTTTTAGGATCAGTTTAACCCTTATTACGTATAAATGTCCACTTAACAATTGTAACTTCCTATTATCCTAGATCTGTTATTGGAGTTTGTCGACAGTACCTTCTGATTTGATTCGTTGTTCCTTCGGAGCATATTGAGTGAACAAAACTAGGGTGACCATCAAAACTGAATAGAAAAATCTTGTGACTATGGAAGCAATTCTACGTTATTTGCACCTTATCAGTAATTGCAATTTATGGGTCAAAATAGTGAATTGGTGACACCTGAATGAGAGTAGTCTCTTGTAGCCAGGACTAGCAGATGACTGAGTAATGGCCTTCAATGGACCGCGAGAAATGTTGCACGATAAAGTAGGTTCTTACTGTTCCTAAAATATTTCGAGAGTTGTCGATACTCCTTAGTGCCTGTTGCTAAGATCATGATCGTTCTCTCCTTGCGTTGCGAGTGGGACATTGGGCTTCAGCTGCACAATGCTTGCTAAAATGTAGTCAGTAAACATCCCTTCATTCATCTGCCCAAACCCTTGTAAGACGACTTTTATTGCCTAGCAGCTGTGTCTGATTTATCTTTCAAGTGTAGCCCTTAACCACCCTCTATCTAGTTACAGTTAAAGTCGGATCCATACAAGTGGTGTGGGAAACCATGGCATACTGATGAATATAACGCGACATTTGTTTATGATGGAAGCCAAGTCATTTCCGTGACCTAGGTCTCCTGTTTGGTTGAGTCTTCCTTCAAATTAGTCGAGTCTTCTTTGCTTCTCACAGTTTTACAGAAATTTGCATCATTCGCGTAAAGAAGTGATGCGAAGTTTAAGTTAGGGAAAGTGTATGTAACGACCATACATGACAGCAGACCTTAAAATTAAGGATGTATTTCAACAGACATTTGGGCCACTTAAAAAGTTGTTGAAATTTAATTCAAACTTCCTGTCACTCAAAGATCATCTCAAAGTTATGGGGTCAGTAGTGTTTCAGCATATCAGATATCCGGTTAGTTAGAAGCGGCGGTTTATTTGAATTTCCTTCCACTATTTATATTCAAACTTGGTAAGTGTATTGCACGTTCATAATTAGCCCGAAATAACCATGGTCGTAATCGAACTCCTATTTTTCACGTTTTCTGCCTGATTAGGGATAAACTTAGCTGTCATATCTGCTCTTTGCTTGTGTTCACACATTAATTAATATAGTGTAATTTCGAGGTATTATGAGGGTAGTCCCGGGTTTTGAGGAATTGGTTTACAGGCCTCCAAAAGTTTTTCCTGGGTTCTTAATTAATCCTATGTCAAAGTGCATTGAAAGTCGCTGTGATTCAAACTTCAACACGCACCGTTTCACTGTAACCCATCTCAGTGATATCAAAAGTTGTCTATACAAATCAGAGTTGTTTTTTTGAATGGTAAGTTTAAGTTACTCTTGTGTGTCCTTCAAGTTGATAGGTAGATTCTGTAAGGCAAGTAAAAGAAACAAATTAAGTGTAAAACGTATAAACTCAGGGAATATCTGACATATATATTCCTAAAATTCGGCACATATAATTTCCATTGCTTTATGGATAATGTTGGAATTAACTGTATACTAAAAAGAGATTTAAATGCAACAGTCTTTATTTAGACTTATTATCTGTAATACGTATTTCATGTGCCGGGCTAAAACCCACACTTATTATGTGAAGGCTACTGATACGACCCGTTCACTCTATCTGTAGTGGATTAAGTGGTTTTCGAGCTTGTGACCCGCTGGCTGCAAACTGAGCACTACAGCCGACGAGTCATATTACTAAATTTCTTTAAACATCTTCAGAATCCATGTTTGCCTTTGTAGATGTGAGATTTATTTTAGGTGTCCATTAGGTCACCTACTCAGGTGGTAGAAAATTGTCTTTAAAAATTTAGGCAATAAAATGGCTATACACACTATTGATATATTAATTTTCACACTTTATTAATCTGCATAAATCATGGGTCATAATCCCAGACTTATTAAGTCTCCCGAAAGGTGAACTTCATGGTCAGTTCAGGTTTAAAATACCGCACATTTTCTTCATTCATGACTTGGAGTGAATTCGAGGCCCCCTCGGTTATGTCGACTATCTGTGCAAATGAATCTGTAAGTTATGAAACACATATCTTACGGAATTTTTCTTTCATAAGAGTGCTTTAATCATCTTTATGAGCCTATGATCATGTCTGAGTGTGACCTTATAGAAGCCCCTCTTCAATGTTAGCCGTAAAGTGGACAGGCATTTTGCCGTCGTCAGTGTCAATATCTGCAAATTAATGGTTACAGATTAGAGTAATTGCCTATATGTCTATTTGTGGAAACATTAAACTTAAATTTCAGAGGACGATTTAAAACAGTATACAATTTAAGAGATCTTGCTGATTGAAAGTGGTTGGAAAATTTGTGCCACTGGGAGAATACGCAATTTCGAGGAGTACATGTAATAACAGTATTTTGGCGTTAGGTAGATCAAATCCTCTATAACTGTCATTGATGGGTCTTACGTCTGATTGAATCCAACTCTGTTGGTAGCAGCTTCGATTTCAGTCGAGTTTTACCGTATCTGAAAGTTGGCTCAAGTACTCGGTTTACAGTCGATCGGTCATGTGTTTAATTCCTGCTCCACCCTCTTCAGCATGGACAGCTGGGTAGTACTATCAGCCCTCACATGATAAGTGTGGCTCACCCTGGTACATGAAGACTGTTTCGGGTAATTGAGCCTTAATATGATTAAGCTCTCACTTTCTGCCTTCCAGTTTTCAATACTATATCATTGTCACATCAAATAAATTTATCTGATGTCTGATCATACCTAAAAAATAGTCACTACTTGAGAAGAGAAATTAATGATAGGCTTTCAGAGCCTCTTTAGACTTAGGAGGTACTTCGTCGGTTAAAAACAGTGTTCAAGTTGATGAATCATCTGTGGGCTGAAAAGTACTTTTGCTTCATGACATGTATCCTCATCATACATTTTTGTCACGCATATCAGAGTTTCAAAGTGGCAGCTTAAACCGTTTCGATATCTGTTGAATGTTAAACTGTTTGATGACAACTTGAACTGCTGCATTTCTGTGTAGTGTTCTATGTTTAAACTCAGCCGATGATGTGCAGCAGAAGACCTCCTCGCATATTTTTCACAATTGTTTCTGGGATAACGTTGTCATGTACCACCAAGACGAATAAACTGTATTACTATGATTGTTGGTGATTTTCTGTAATATGATAGTCCACGTGTTTCATTTACATGACAATGGTTTTTAACCATAATACAATATAGCTTTGCTTTTTTCGGTTATTGTATGACTTGCTTTATAGTGTAGTTTTAATGCAAATGAATGTATGTTTCCGATTGGTTTTTTAGGTATGTCATCTGAGTCCTGTGCATTTATGTACACGGGAGGCGTGTCAACTAATGTCGGGAATGAGACAGTTTTAGGGACTCCTGTTCCAGTTGCACATTCAACTGCTGGCGGCAATAAATATTCAGCTTACAACAGAAATAGTCGGGCCTACTTCGACGAAATCCTACCAACTTCACCAGCTTTCCTAAAACGGACTTACGTTATTGAAGGCAGTAAAAACCACAAAAATCGTAATATTCAAGATGAAGGCAATAAAGAAGCTAGCATTTTAAACATTGATACAATAAAGGGTAGGTGTTTAACGTTTATTTCTGAATGTTTTTAGGTCTTTCAGATAGTGTTTTAGATCGCAGCTTGCAGGTTCGTAGACACGAAGTGATTACGAAAAAGTTAAGTAAGTCTAGTTTAGAGTATTCTTTGTGTCTGCTTCGTCATTTCTATTTCAAGTATTCACATTTATTCTATTAATTTTTCTTCAGGTGAAAAGAACCAAATTAAGCAACTGGATACCTTCAATGTTGAACACTGTCAGCCCCCTTCTACGGATATTGAAACAGAGCAACAGAAAATTCAGTTCGATGACGAAGAGCTAAAAATGTTGGAAGATGCCTTTAGTGATTTCGATTGTGGTACATCAGAAACAACTATCCCAACTCGCGCGTGTGAAACATTTGCCCGTCGAGTATCATGCAAACCACCGGCGACGGAGGAAGAGTGTTCGGAAGGCAACACAACATCAGTTCCTTCTTTACAGTCAGCCGAGGGCAGTGGCGAAGTAGATGGTAGTATTGTTGATGTTGAAGCACAAGATCTTGCACAACCACATATTGTTTGCCCGGTAAGCGAGTAAAGCATGTTAATTTTGCTTGATACATCTGTTCTTAAGTGTTTTTGACCATAAATTCATATGTACTAGGTAATTTATTGCTTTTTCTACACTTGTAGTTCATAAGATTATTTACCCAACCTTTATTTAGGTGGGTCACGGGTTAGAATCCAGCTTCACCGACTAAGAGTTGAGCAGACTGCTACTATCAGCTGTCATATAATGCCAAGCGCTTTGACATACTAACATTTTTCGAACATTTTAATTGAAAATCTTGCTGCCAGATTCTAATAATGAAGACATTTCACAAGGTTACGAGGGAGCTGATCTGTTTCTCATGTGTCTTGTTTGTCGGTTTAGTTTGGTAAATTAATTGTATAGAATAAAGGTAACTTTCCTTAAAGGTGAAATTTCAACGCTTATAGTTTATAATGAGTATTCAATTTATTTAGAATACATATGCTGCCGTTTTGGAATGTCCCCTCTCTTGTTGAATTCATTTTCATTGATTGATATGCAAATTAGCCACATAGACTAGTAGTTTCAAAACCCCCTTTATATGTTCTCTGTATTTTATTCGCATTGTATATGTCACTTGGCTAACACACACATGTTTTGGATTATACCATGAAAACGCATCCATCTCCAAAACCTAAATTTCTTTTCTTATCGTTCGTTTGGCTGTCTCTTTTCTTATTTTGCATTCACAGGCTACCGGACCTTCTACTCAAGTTTCAGAAGGTCATTCAGACAATACTACTGACAAGCAGTTAAGCTCACAGACTAATGGAGTTGATCAGTCACTGATAAGATCTCGTGTCAAACTATATTCACACCTACCATGTCTTACTGGCTTATCATCTGCTCTTGAGAGTAATTCATTCGGCAACAAAGTATGCTGTTTAGGTGTTTTTCTTACTTTTGATACTTCGATTTAACTTCCTGATTGACGAAAACAAGGTTATTTGGTAAAAATGGTAATATGGATATACTTCATAAAACTAGGAAGTGATTATAGTAAAAAAACAAAGTGGACTTGAAGTAAATTTTTAAGAATTAATACTATTTTTCGAAACTTTTCAAAACGAGGGTATTATTAATGACTGGCCAATAGCTTACTTACTCGACAGAGAGGCAAATGAGGAATATATTATCAGTTTACTAAACAGAAAAGTTAGTAGCATTGGGCTTGATATTTGTGTGATTTTTCCGCCTAAAAAGGAGTTATTTTTCGTGTAGTGCATTTTCTGCTTCGTTTTCTTCTTGGTACACTTAGACTCAGGTTAGCCGATCGACTGACTACCTTCCACGTAAATTGTAGTAACTTAGATAGATGTTTATTTAGGAAATAAAATTGATATACCACTTGAGATGTTTCACTTGCGTGAATCCACTAAGGCGAATAGTTTGTTATTGGGACTATTTACAAGCTGCATAGTGTATTGATAAGTAATTTAAGGTTTAATTGAATTTTAGATTTTCCCATCGATTGATTATGCCGAAGTGCTCGGTCTCAGGTCGGCTTCTTGTGCAGATGCTTCGACGATGTCTTGGTATGTAATTAGAATTTAATTGGTGGATGGTGACTAGTGGCAGTGGAATCCATGATGCGCATTTCGTCCTATTTGGGACTCGTCAGCTGGATGCCTCGGTGGGAACAGCATCACTCACTGGGGAATGCAGGTACATCCAGTGACGAGTCCGAAATAGGACGAAATGTGCATCATGGATTTCAATGCTAGTCACTATCCACCAATTAAATTTTTAATTTAAGGTTCTTAAAGCGCTGTTAACGCATTTTGACTGATTTGAATGCGCTAAGAGTCGATTAATTACAATAGGTGGGATTTCTTTGGTCATTAGAAAATAGGTGCTTATCTTCGTGGTGTTATAATCATATAATGTCTTTGTATTTGACTGCTATTATCAGTGGAAACTTTACGACATTAAAACTTATCTCCTTATAATTCATTCGCAGTGTATTTCTAATAAATACTTACTGGCATCTGATTATTTTATACAATGATTAAAATTATCGTTGAAAAGAAGATATTGAAGTATGCTAGGTGATTCGCAGACTGTCTGTAAATTCTTCATTAGATTTGGACATTTTTCATAACCAATAACTCTGAATTGTGTAACCATAATTCGATAAGGATTTTTGTTGGGAAGAGATAATTTCTATGTATATGCTATCTGTGCCTTCATCTAATGACAGCTGATGCACTCAAGTTGGCCGGTTAGATTCATTTAACTTTCGGTATTCGGTTATTTAGTTATTTGAGCTTGTCTGGACGTACATGATGAACCTCAGCTTCAATCAACGAACACAGCTGTTCAGCATTTTGAAGTTTTTCTTTTAACTAATAAAATGTATGAGTCATTCGAAAAAAATTAACCAATAGTACTATAATCTATTGTGATGTTTATTCACTTTTTAAATGTTCTTTTAAATCTTTTTAAAAATTTTAGTCAGATAATTGTGTACCACCTGAACTGCCTAAACCAACTACAAATTTGAATGCAAATAATTCTGTGTCGCTGTCATCAGTACATGATGTAAATAGACAACTCCTAAGCCATACAGACAGTCATCTTGCTAAGTCAGCTGATGCAAATAATATTTCTGAAGCTCCTCAAGAGCAGATTTCAAAACACGAGTTATCTGAAAATGCTTCACGTGATATCCAGAAAGTTGATAATGCTATGGAAGCTGACAATACAATATTAGGAAATCTGGATATGTCAAAAATCGACATTAGCTGTTTACACATGTCTGATATTGATGGCTTACTGGATATGATAACTGCTCTGGGTAAGCAGTCTAAAACTTGTGAACCAGCAACTCAGTACAATAAAGTATCTTCACAGTTAACTAAACAAGTGGCTGCTGTCAGACAAGCACTGAAACCTGCTGTTAGTAATACGATTGGTTCTAATAAGATTATTTACAGTTCAGATGGGAAACAACTAAATTTTCCTTTATCCAAGGTAAGCTAGCTGTACATAGATAATATGCTTTTTCCATAGAGTTTCGTATAGATTTTTTAAGTGGTTGCGTGGCAGAATGTTGACTCTTGCTACTCGCAAAGCTGTTACATGTGCTCTAAAGTATTACTGATGTTTAGCAGACTTTTAAAAAAATAACCTCCTAATCGAAGTAATTAAAGTTTAACACTATGAGGATTGTCATACAAAACATGCATATCTGAAATTCACACATAGCCGCGTCTATCTAATTGATAGGGTGAAGTAGATGTTTGAATTGGATTGCAGATTGTCTGCGGTTTTCTTCCCGTTCCGATAGAATTTTCTATATGGTTTTGATTTCGTAATGAATTTTTTGTTGATCCTTAGAGACTGGTTTTAAATATGTGCTCTCAGTAGCTGGATAACACTAAACCTCGGTCTTATGATGATCAGTACTCATCGTTAAGACATAACATAACAGCCATTTTACCTCGCAGATAAGGATTCGTATCATTTAATGCTAAAGCCAGGAACTCTACTGTCAAGTTTTGCAGACTGTAACTAGCTAAATTATAACGCTGGTTGACATTGTTCCTACGCATTGTTCGCTATTGATCTGCAGAAAAAGAAGTGAATTGAAATGCTCAAATTTCAATTCATGAATAATCCCCATTCAGACAATTATGGCAATAGAAGACGTAGTTCAGCTAAGAGACTTTTCAGCGAATTTATTCACTTAGCCGTACAGTTGCAATTATTTTTAATTATTTTTGTATATGTGTGTACATTAGGTTTGCCAGACAAGCATACAATTTAGTTACAATTGTTGTTCATGTCATCGAAAAATGTGATGAATAATCAAATTGTAACTATGGGGGTGGGTGGCGGTAAAGATTGCTAAGAGGGTAGTGGTGATGAGTTGTCACAAAATAGTTGTTAATGGTAGTCACTGCATAAGAGAAGTTGAATAAGTGTGTTGTAGTTACATAATAAGGTGAATAAAGTAATGATGAGTGGTTTTTGATTAGGATGTAAATAGAAACGAAGGAAAATACGGAATTGTATAAGAGTGGTAAAGGAATACAAGAGTTATAAGGAGTCAGAAAAGCAGGCACACAAACATAAAGTCAGTAGAGATCAACATGCTCATATTTTTCATACATGCCTATTTGTTGTTGCAAAATAGTGTACTTATTTATTGCCTGATATTTATATTTAGGTCGACGGGGGAAAAGAAAATGTACCACCTGCTAATGATGATATGATTTGTTCTGAGAAAGAAAATCAAAGCGTCCACAGAAAACACTCTCAACATTCGAATCCTCTTCGTTCAAATGAATCTACCAATTCGTCTATTAGATATCTACCAAAAGCTGGACATGAAAATTTATCGATTAATAAAGTGTCTATAACGCCTCAGAAAGATGCTGTTTGTTCAGAAATGTCTAAAGCTCAAAAAATTCCTATTCTTTCAAATACTGACTGTTTAATATGGGCTGGAGCTGTTTGTGGACAAATGCAGTAAGTGGATATTCAGTTGAACTAATTACAGTTGTGTGTGGAATATTTCCTTTTGGTTTTTCTCCATAATTTATAGTTAGATATAAGATTTAATAATTATAGGTTGTATATTTTTGTTGTCATTTACAACATTCCGCCTCAACATAAGTTTGGTGTAACTAGAATGCATTATTAAAGGCGATTATATGGCATATCTCTTTTTCGAAGTGACGCCACCTGTATACGGTGGTGGGTATTAGAGCGTTTCAATAAATAGGCCAAAATATATACCAGCATTATATCATGAAATTCCAAAAATATGCGTTTAACTTTTGAACTTACTGCATCGTTTAACCCACTACATTGCGCAGATAGCAGTATCAAGCGATGTTTTTTCATAAAAGTGCAGAAAATGTAACGCAGTTCAGGAATATAATGCCACCGATAATATGTACGCCAGAAAAAAATTTTTAATGCAAAATTTCATTTAGAAAGCATACAAAAAATATAACTTGACATTAAACCACCACAGCGATGTACTAAAATAATAATAATAATAAACATCATCAAATTATTATAGTTGTTCCCTTGAGTTCCTTGTGAAACATAGGGCTTTAACAGCACATTTCTGCTTTTTCCTATTTTCTGCTGTCCTCTCCACATGGGTTCACGATTACCCATAATCTAACGTCTCCTCCTCGCACGAGCTCCTTCATATCACCTTCAGGCGGCCCACTCGTCGTCTCCCACCCGAGCGATGGCCTGCACTGTCACTCAACGGCCTCCTTAGCGTATGACCTGTTCATCTCCATTATCTCCGCCATATTTGTTGAGCAATGGGCTCTTGGTTGGTTTGTTGCCAGCCTGATTTTGTTGTTGTTAATTCTCTCTGACCCACCGCCCATTCGATCTTCAATATGCAGCTAGCGAAGGTGGCAGTTGTTGGTAAAAGTCTTCAGTGGCCTGTTGGAAATGCTTCTGGTGACGCGCACACCAAGTTTCTGACCCAAATTGAAGCAATGACTGACTTAACATTTATGGTGAAAATCTGAATCTTGTTCTTTCTGATTCTGAGGTGGGTGCAGAAGATTTCCAAACTGGTTTCAGATTGATGAAGTCGTGTCTTGTCCTTCGGATTCTGGCTGATGTTGACACCTTCATCCTTGCCGTTGACCTGTATTTGAAACAATGCTTCCTAGATAAGTGAAGGAAGTAAACTTATGTATATTTCTTCCGTTGATGGTGATTGGTGCTGTTTGTTATTGCTATTGGTAGGTTGGTTGGTTGTCTGCATCACCTCCGTCTTCTCTATGTTCATCTGGAGTCCTGTCTTCTCTGCCTGTCTCGTCTCATCAGCCAGTTTGTTGCTTTTTGCCTCCAAGTCTTCGAGTCTGAATGACATTAAACATAAATGATTAGCGAGATCCAAATCTTCTAGAATCTTCTTATCGATCGATAGTATTCGTATCTGTTTCAATCCCGATAGTTTTACGCACAATCTAGTCCACCGCAATTACTAATCCCATCGGTGATAACAGGTAGCCGCCTTGTCTTACTCCTGCATTGGCTTCACTTCACGTGCTACAAAGCTATAGTTTGCGGGGGTTTTCAATAAAGCTACTCCATCGTTAGTCTTTGTTATTAGTTATCTTAGTGCTTCCTAATTACATTCAAATTTATTCCTTTGTGCAGAAAAAATAAGAAAGTAGCGTTATATGCGTGTTAAGTCGACCTTTTGATTCTTATGTGATAATCTTTTCTAAGAAGTCAAACGATGATATCTTCAGATTTACTCAGCAACTGTGTTACTTGTTGGTTCAGTTGGTTCAGTTTTCAGGAGGACTGTTTCTCACTGAGACAAAAAATTTGAATGCTTTACAGTAAGCAAGCAATGGATAAAACGACTTTTAACGTGACTTTGATTGTCTGTAGATGTAAAACTACTTACAGAATAGAGGTCGGACAGAGGCAGAAATAGTCTATTAGAGTGATTGCCACTGAAAAGCGTTGCATGTACTTATTCACGATATTTACGACACAAGCGAGATACATAGGTGTCTCCTGAGTTTTATGATGGAATCCACTGTCTTTCCACATTGTTAATACATCTGATATTAAGCATACGTGTGCACAAATAATTTTGCTACCCCCGCTTTTGTGGAGTAAGTTGTTGTTAGTGTAATTACTGCATGAGGAATTAAAGAGTTAGAAAAGATGTACCACCTGGTGATACTGTGTGGTATGGTGTACCAGGTGAAGATATTTAGCGTCTCTCCGCCATTCCATAATACTTTAAAATTTACCTGAATTGAATTAACAGTTAGTTATATCGTAATGAAACCAAATGGATGGATGTATATAATAATTGTCTTGAGTGTATAACAACTTTACTTTTACTGAGTTCAATTGGCTATGGAGTGTCTTTTCCACTGTGACATTTTCAGCCGCATCCATTTCACAATTGCTATGTTAAAACTGTTATTGATAAAATGCAGTTTTGTAATTAAATATCTATTGATCAAGTCACTTATCGCCTAATAGATGAATTAGGTATACAATATATTTGAAACTATTATAGTAATATCAAAGTAATAAATAAATACCTATTATTTACTTTTATTTTTTTTAAGGCGAAAGAGTTTCCTCATTAAACATAAAATGGATAAACCGGTCACACTATCATTTGCCGTTCGTCCTAAATCCGAAGTTTTCAAAGTGAGTATCTTTTATATTTCCCACTAGGTAAAATCACTTTTCGAAATAGTCTTTGCATAGGATAAGTATACAGAAAGATTGACATAGAACCTTTCAGAGAATTCCACTGACACAAGTTGCTATGCTCCAAAACAGCAGTGTGATGATACTGCAATAAACCACATATATCACTAGTCTGATAGAACTACTAAGGATTCTCATACAGTAGCTAGGTATTTTAGTGAATCTAGCCAATTATGTATCGTCGTTATCCATAAACACCTCTGAACTCAAACTATCAGGTCTTGTTACATGTATCTTTTTACTCTGGAGTCAATTTTTGCTGCTTCGTGTATAGTTTGAGGTCAAGCAATAATCAATTGCTGTGAAGCTATCGGCCGTTTGAACCGCTCATCAGAGTGTTCTGTTTAGTGACTCTATCTTCTGTCCTACAAGGCTTTTAACGTTTTCACCTTTCTATGACATTTTTCACTATCAACAATTTTTTAGAACCTATTTGCTAAAATGGTTGACAAATATTGCTTGGTACTGATGTCTTTTCCTGCGCTTTTCTTTTCTTCACCTACCATTTCTAACCGTCGTTATGGAGACTTTCAGTCAGTTTATGTATAAGCACTTTTCGCTGCTATACGTGTTTGGAGGCAACTGGAATCAGTCTTCTAGCATCTAACACTTTCGGTGAAATCCCCTGTTCTCTTACTGCTTTATCATCTGTCTTCACTGCTGTTTCTACAACAGACTAAATGCGATGTTCGTCCTCCTGATGAGGATTATCACTATCATGCTTAGTCAACTTCTGTCTGAATTCAGACCTAATCTGTTCATGTTAGGCTGCAAGGCGTGTTTATCTTCTTCATTGAGTCAGTCTCAGATGTTTAGTTGCCTGATCTAACGCATAGTCAGTATCCATGCTTGCATTTTAGAAGAAGAGGTAGTCGACCTTCACCACCTTTGTCATCTATGACTAGTAGTATACGTAATCTCTATGTGTGTTCCTTGTTGATTTGATTAGTGCAAGTTACTTATACTACTTTTATGATAGCTGCTTTCAGCTTTACCGCAATCCATCCTACCTTTCTGACATTATTAAGCCTACTGAAACAATCCTCTCAACTTTTTTAACTTGTTGCAACATTACTGCACGTTAATCTGATTACCATGATCATGAGTGCAACGCTTGATCAAGGCAGGATAGATAACAACATTCTGATGACTTCTTTTATACGTACAATTGTTATATGAATGGTAAGCTTCTCATGTAGTCTTGAAAAGTAGATACATTTTTGTTAAGATTGCAAGGGATAACTCCATTTTGTAGACTTGCATTGATTAAGGTCGAAAAACACTTGTTTCAGATGCTGTCTCAATGTAGGTTCCTGCCTAAATTTCAGTTATTACATATGAAGATGCTGGTTAGTTTCGTGTACAGACTGAGAAATTCATAGTGGCATATACTTGCTCATCTTTAGAGGTGATTGGTGTTGTAATAGGGGGCGAGTGTTTCGTCGTATTCAAGGCACATCATCTGGAAATACGTGTTTGCCAGTGAGTAATGTTGTTCATAGTGGTGCTGAAACTTATTGAGAAATACAGGCATGTAATTACAGTCTAGAAATGAAGTCAATATCAAGGTATCTGTTTATGCAGCTCATATGCCGAAATAAGGTATTCAGTTCGTTTCTGAATTGTGAACGGAAAAACCAATGATAAAGGAATAGTAATAATATATCTTGCGTAGACTAGGTGGTGCTTGGGAGAAAGAAAATCCTCGAAAACCAGGCAGCCTTTATACTGGGAAGAGGATGTATTGATCATACCTTTACCCTTCGATAGATTCTGGAACATAGGCGTACTTACCGGCGATAAACACTTGTTATGTTTCTCGACGTGAAGGAGAAATTTGACTCCGTCGCAGTCTGATCGTGAATGGAGTGTCGAAAAGTTACATCGCACTAAACAATCATTCTACTGGAACTCACACAAGCGTGTAAGAGCTTACGAAGAGTTATCATCTGAAGTGATGACAGCTAGTGGTATCTTTCAAGGATGCCCATTGTCTCCAGTTTTGTTTAATTTCATCATGGATGTACCGATAGATGCAATCCTAGTTGACTTTAGCGACTGGGGGATTGACTTGCTAGTGGGAAACAGTCTCATCGGCTTGGAGTATGTGGAGGATATTGTTCTTCTAGGTGAAGATGATAATAAAATGCAGTCTTTTGTGAACACATTGAATAGAAACCTTAGTATGTTTGACACGTGATTCACCCTCTGTAAAATGTAAGATGAGGCTTCTAGACTGGTTTGAACGGACTTTTAGTATAAAGATAGGGAGTAAAGTGGTTGGGTGCGTTGAATAATGGATTGATTTCTGACGAAATCTCAGCACGGAGACAAAAGGTTCGTTTGGCATTTGCCAACTTATCTCTGGCGGAGATGTAACCTCTGGCCATCCGTCTAAGGACGTATGTATTACGCAGGCGTTTGCTCTGTCCTTCTTTATGGCTGTGAAATGTGACTGTTGAAAGTGGAAAACTTAAAAAGGTTATCTATCTTTGACCGGAGGGTACAGAGGGTAAATCAATCAATGAGGTTGTGATGCCGCATCGATTGCGATAGCTATGATGTGTTTGGTATGCCTAGCCATCACATTCCTCACCGTGCAATGTTAGCGGGCATAAGATTGGGTTAGAGATGAGTTAGCAGTGATCAAAGGGAAACGTGACATCAGTACATGATGTTTTTCTTAGTTTGAACCACTTAGGAAGGTGTAGATTGCATGGTTAGTGCCAATGACATGAGACTGTTGGTGACATGTATCAAAGTCGTTCTCAATGAGGCAGATGTATCCACCGTTTATATGAACTTGCAGATCTGTTAAATTCCCATTATTTTTCATGTAATTATTCTTTCTCCCGTACCTTTCCGTTCATTATACTTTCTCTTGATTTTCTTCTCTACGTCTGTGTGGTTTATGAAGTGCTGCAACTTTTGTTCTGTGTTGAAGACTCACTCAATCAGTCAGCGTATATTGTTGTCATTCTTATGCCCTATATTGGTTAGAGTATCTGTGTATGTGTACATTTTTCTTATAATTTCAGTTACATTTATAACATGTTGCCTAAATAATAACCATATTGTGTATTGCACTCTTATAATCAGTAAATTCTATGTTTCCATGTTTCCATAAAGTTCAAAACTCCTGTGGTTGAATATGAGCACATTACATTGTAACCGAAATTATATGAATTCTGATTTTGTCCAGTTTATAACTTGTTCAGAAAAATCACCCTTTACTGTAGCCTTTTTGTTTCAATTGTAAAAATTGGATTTTTTTCTTCTTTCTTTTGGCATTAAGCTTGTTGATGAGAATGGTTATCTTATTACGGGTACGTTTCGTGTACATTTACCACCGAATCTTGAATATGAAGTTAATGTTGCCTATGTAGGCAAGCATCCAGTTTCTTGGGATTTTGCAAACTTATTTTTTCGTTTAGAGGATGAAACACTAACTCGTACCTCAAAGGTAAGCTTTCTATTTTAAAGGGGTTTATATAACACTTCATGCATTCATGCTATACAATGCTCAAGCAAAATGACGTCAAGGCTTTGTATTGTTTAATTGAAATGTGATTCATTATCCAATTATATTTTATGTAGGGTTTTCGTTGTACCATTAGTGTTATGATGTTGTTTTATTGTGCTTCCTCACACATGTATCAGGGATAAGTATAGTAAAACCTCAGTTTCTGGTGTAAAGTTTCTTCCTGCAGCATTAGACGAGGCAAACCAGATGCATAGTTGAGGAAGACTTTATCAAAGGAGTAATATACAGCTGACAGTTTCTAGTACTTACAAATTTTCAGTACAGAATTTCTCGTTGACTGCCTACAACCAACTTTTTTTTATTCCTTTACGTTCCAAGTGGAACATAGGGCTTCAAGCTAGAGTCGTATTTATTTTTTACGGGATGGGGTTGCTAGCCTCATGCCCAACCTTCCCTCTTTACCAGCCTTATTGCTAGCTTTGAGAGGTAAAGGAGTGCGTCGGCCGGGGATCGAACCCCAGACCACCTGCATAGTTGGCGAGCATTCTACCTATGTGCCACCAACTAGTAAGCATAATGTCCTTTTTGAAGTCAACTATACGGAATAGATTTTCCGTATCCCAGGTTAAGAGCCACAATTATCGTGTGTAGGGCTGATGGTATTCTACCCATTCACCCAGTCTGACGTAGGTAGACCGGGACTCCAACTCCTAGCCCATCGGCTAAGAGCTGAGTACTTAAGCCACATCTCTACAGCTTATATGATAGCGGTAGCTTTTCGTGTAGACTTGAGTATGTCTAGACATCATTTAACTTGTTGGATTTCTTATATAGAAAGTGGTGTTAAAAGTCAACCTATAATATGCAAATGGCTATTATACGAATCTCTGCAGTTTGAATGCACAAAATTGTTTACTGAATTATTACTCTTGTTTCACAACTAGTTAGTAATTAGTACGCTAAATAAAAACTGTGCTTGAAATCTAGCAGTTGACTCGAGAATTCTTTTGTATGCAAGTCATTTGTAAGCTTTGCTGATCGTCTGAATGATATCCTATTTGATCATAGTAAATTTTACAGCTATTTCGTGCATTAGTAATCATGTTCCCTATATTGTAAGCTATGTAATATTCTTTATTGTGTAATTTGGACAGTTGTTTGTCTACATAAGTTCAGATTGCACTGTCTATCCGTTTTGTGGATGAACTGTAATTGTTTCACTCATTTTTATGCAAATCAGTAGCATCCACTCTAGCAAACTTATTTCGTGCCTTGTACACACACACACACACATCGGTGATACTCATAAAGTGATGCTGTTAATCTCTCTTCATCCCTGCAGATATCTTGCACTGTCCATTACATTTTGGAAATTCATGTTGTTTGTAATTTTGTTGTATGAATCATCGTTCATGAAAACTTAAAGCAATTAATCAAATCCAAAATGGAGAAAGTGCGTCGATGGCTTATCGGTAGAATGCTCGCCAACCACACATGTAGTCCGGGGTTCGATCCTCGGCCGATACACTGCTTTACTTTGCTAAGCTGGTAGGTGATAAGACCGTTAAAGAGGGGAGATTGAGCGTGAGGCCTAGTGACCCCACGCCGTTAAAATAAAACATCACTATTATCGAAACTTCAAAGTTCTTGCTTGAAGGCCTATGTTCCACTGGGAATGTAAAGGAATAAAGAAGAAAAATTCGTGGTGAAAATATTTGAATTTCTGTATTCGAGAGTCGTAGTATATCTAAGAGATATTTTATAGTTTTTACTATCAGTTCCAAAGGGATGCTAAATTCACCTTCAAATAGTCAAAAATTGGTAGTGTAATTCATTTTATCACTTATGTCGTATTTGTGTCTTAGTGCATCTTCAAGAGGTCTATCAAAATTTCTTTCTTTTTAGTATGCACAGTCGTTTTTAGTAAAACTCTGTGAAGAAAATTATTTAATTGAAATGATTATTGAATGTTTTACTTTATAGTCCCTCAGTACATTAGCTCTTTTTTTACCTAAGCGTCATAAAAACATGAAGTTCTGTTTCCCGGGGAGACAGTTGTGATAGACATGTTGGTGGATAAACCACCTTTCATCCATGAGACTACTGTTTGAATTCGGAACACGATTGTAAAGCCTGTAGGTTGAAAGTGAGCATTGATTTATTGCCTCTTCAAGTGGCTAACGCGATTATTTACACAATAGGAACAAATGGATGAGAACACTCGCTCTGTATCAAAGTTATACATTCCATATTAGTTTGTATTAGTATATCAAAGTGAACAGTATTATTACTGATACGTTAAATTTTATTTAGTTGAATATTAATTTATTTTTTTTTGGGAAATTGGGACAAAGTTTATACAACCTATTATTACAAATGCATATCCGTTCATCATGTATTGATTTGCTTTCTCTTTCTCTTCAGACGTTTCATTAATAATTCAGATAGTTGAATCAGATAAATTTGATTCTCAGTTTCTACAGGTTTGGATTTTAAATCAACTCTATTACTGCATATTTCTGTTTTAGGTGAGACTAATCGGATATACAAATTCCAGCCAGTTAGTGTATTATTGTTGTTCAAAGTTAAGTTCTAATGTTTATTGGACTGTAGCATCGAAAGTCGATCCTATTTGTGAGATGATTGATAAAAAGAATGAAAGAACAAGTCTTCAGTCCCCAAAAAGCTGTTTAACTTCAAATTTATCTGGATGTTGTTTGGCGAGAATCACTGTCAGCAATTTTGGTGCAAGATCTGCATGGGTTTGTGCACGTGTGGAATGTTTGGATCAGAAATCTGATGATCAAAAAGATTGTAACGAGTTTTCTGATAACGGGATAGTAGTTGATCCGGAAAATTTGGTGATTGGATCAAAACAATCTGAGGTATGTTGTCTTTGCATGACATTTCACCGCTTTCATTAAGATGATGGATGATTTACTAGGGATTAGTTACAGGATTTCATCGTTAACTGACATCGATTAGAGGACCATTGGAAAACCTGCAAGGAGTACTGGACAGACAGATGTGTTGTCCTAGTTTGGGACTCCCTATCACTACACACCCACTGAGGTTCGAACCCAGGGCCCTCCGGTTACAAGGCGACATCATAGACCATTCACCCCTTGGGATGCGATCCAATGATTCATGAATTACAACTTCTATCAATTCATGATGTAGCGCGACCACTAGGGAATGTCATCGACGAGTATTTGTTCTCAAGCCCGACCTGCTGTACCCTACTGGTCACGACTTCCCACTAGAACTCCAGGTAACTACCTACCTGAATAGAGCCAGTCGCTAGTGAGCATCTCATTGATTTTCAAGTATTGGTTTGTAGGGATTTGATTGATAAGTTACAGGATTTCATCATGAGCTGACATCGGGGATTGGTTGGTTGTTTACTGTCTGTGAATGAGTAGTTGTGAAAATGTTTTAATTATAGTCACTTCGTTAGTCAGGGAAAGCAGTTGTGTGGATCTCTGAGATGTATTTCGTTGAAATGCCTGCATTACATTAAATGAATGGTGTTGATTGTTCCATAGAATTTTTCGCAAACATTTTCGTATAATAAATACACCTTGCAATTGCGCTGTCAAAACAAAATATTCATGAAAAATCCCCATTCGAACATTAATAGACAGAAGACCAGTAGTTCAGCGAAAAGTCTCTTTTCGACGAATTCATTTTCATAGCTGTACAATCGCAAATATATATGATTGTTTTGTATGGGTGTGAACATTAAATTTGTCAAACGAAAATATAATTCGTAAGTTCAGATGAATTGAATGTTGATATAAGAGGGTAGTGACAAAAGTGATGAATTGTCACAAACAATTGTTAAAGAAGAGTTACGTTGTGCTCAGTGTGTACATGGAAACAAAATAACATACGGGATTACGCAAGAGTTTTAAATAGTTAGAAAAATAAGCATACAAGCAAAAGTTAAGTCAAATCAACCGAGTTGTTACCATGATAGTAGAAGTGGTTGAATAATTTTCCTTTGTATGCATAATGCTGGTTCTTCCAACTGATTGCCTAGGGCTTTAATGTTTTCAGAGTGTGTGAGATGCACCGCTTTACTCATTTTTAACCTACTAAGCTTAATGTCTCAGAGTTTAAGATTGACTTTAGTCATCTTTACTTAAAAACCTATAAGATGGATGCTTATTGTGCAACTGTTGAAATCTGAAATTTGCATTATTGTTTATATCTATACAGAGTATTTCTATCACTTTAAAACCTGGAGTAAAAGCTGCACGTATTGTGTTGTATCACGGGGATGAAATACTTCGTTATCAATTTCGACAATTGTAAGCTTTACATTTTTTATTTAACTTAATTGTTTTGAAATGAATAATTGTAATAATAAATGTTTGTTTTTTAACAAAGAATTACATTATTATTATCGGTTGGGGGATTTCATCATGAGCTGACGTCAGTTAGAGAACCACTGGAAAACCTGGGAGTACTGGACAGCAGTTTCACCAGCCTAGTTTGGGACTCTTCATCAGTACTCACCTACCGGGGTTTGAACCCAGGACCTTCTGGTTACAAGGCGAGCTGGTAGACCATTGAACCACTGGGTCCCGATCCAATGGCCCATGAATTCTAACTTAGCTTATTATTATTCGTTGCTCACTAGGGTATAAAACAATGTCATGGACCTTGTCTTTAGTTAGTTCTAAGTAAATCGTATCAATCATGTGTGTAATTTTATCAAGTAACATTATCAGTTGGATTGGAGCGGAAGCATACTAGACTGCCTTGAATAGTTGTTCATTCTCGGAGTAGAATTTTTCAGCAGTGTGTATCATTTATATTCAGATTTACATGCTTTAAGAATTATTAGTGTTCTACTGATTCTGGCACAGAATAGTACTTTCAGGTGTGTATTAGTATATAAATTGAGCTGAGGAAGGGAATAATTCACTCCTGATATTGATAAGAAATTATTCATGTGTAAAAACAGAGGTTATCCATTGTTTAGCCTATTTTTTAAAATTTCTTAACGTTCCCAGTGGAACATAGGGCTTCAAGATAGAGGCCTAATGGGGTTGCTAGCCTCATGCCCAACCTTTCCTCTTTACCAGTCTTTTTACTGGTTTAGCGAGGTAAAGGAGTTCATCGGCTGAAGATCGAACCCCGAACCACCTGCATGGTTGGAGAACATTCTACCGCTGTTCCACCGACGCTTATAATTGTACTCAATCGACTTTTCAAAACGCTATCAAGGTAAACAGTGTGGCCGAATAGGACTGAATTCCTAGTTCTCTCAAAACTATAGTAATGTCCAATCTCCGTTTCCTAGGCATTTGCTTTCTAAGTATCTCTCTATTTGTTTTCAGTAATTTGATAATTCGCACTGTAGTATTAAGAACACAATGTTCAGCGAAGAGACTCTTTTCAATGAATTTATTATCAAGCTATGCAATCGTATATATGTGGGTTGTTTTTTTAAAAATAAATTGTATGCCTTGAAGAAATTTAAACAAAGGTGTGAATACATAAATTAATAATGGTATGAGATTCAATTAAAATTTTTGTGATTACAATCATAGTTGAATATCAAGTTTCAAGTGAGAAAATAAATAATGTCATGCATAGAATGGTTCATAAGGTCTATAGATGTTGGAAAGAAGTGTATAATTATAGGGTTAGTAGGTAAATATATAAAGCATTGTACAACATGCTATGAAATTTGATAGATATAATCCAATCTCTGTACTTAACTGTGTAATAATTGAAATATCTGCCTTCTCCCTTCAGACACATATATATTCTGAGAAGGTCTAGTTGCAGTGTACATCCGAGAGCCTAATTTCACTTGCTTTAGTTAGATTGCAGTAGTAGTTTTTAGAAAAACATAGATTCTAATCAACTTTTAAAAATCAACTTCGTGTAAAACACCATATTTTGTAAATATTGTGTCCTTTTTTTAGATACACTCAGTCTCAGAAAACATCGAAACACGAAAAGCCATCTAGCCACAGTCAGAAGGATAGTCGCTTGCGTTTTCTAGATATTTTGAAAGATTTTGCACATGAACAGTCTATTCAAGTTGGTAAGTCCATGTCTCTTCAGAGTGTCAGAAAGGGTTTGTTTCTAACACTCGCTATGTATTTACTTTGTATTTTCTACTTTCACTTCCCTGAGCTCATTTTATTTTTATTCTCATTCGTATATTAAGATGAGCAAGTTAATAAACCAAACTAGAAAAGACGAAATAGCTAAGGCAATTGCTTTTCGACGAATCATTTTCAAGAGCCCTACAGTTGTATTTATATTTAACAAAGAATTCATAAAATCAATCACATGCTGGTAACTTGTTCTAGAAAATATATTACGTAATGGGAGGTTTAATGTAGAAAGGAATGACTCATTTATTTTATTGTTATTATTATCATTATCATTACTATTGTTTAGTAAGAACACGGCCTTTCTCACTCAGATTTTATATAAACCCTCCATTAGCCTCTGTCCATTTGTATTTTTTTTATTGATTAGTCATTTTTCACACTTGTTGCGCAATTCCAAATTCTGTCTCTTTTTTCTGGTCGCTACTTAGTCATCCTCCTCTAGATTACACTTCACCTTACATAATACACTTTCTAGGCCATAGTTGCCAGTATGTGATTGGTTTTATAAATTTTTTGTATAAATAGAAATGTTGATAAGGGTTACGTAATAGGAAAGACACTCGAAGAAATGGGATGCTAATGGGAAGAGCATGGAGACAAGTGTCCAAAACAAATAAATTATGTAATAGGTGGGGAGAGTAAATATTCATGTCTGAATAGGTATTTTCCGTGAATTGAAAATTAGCAATGACTCTTTGACAGTGAAGGAACTTAGTGGGTTTCTGAGCTATTCTGTCAAGCTTATTGAAGTCATTGCGAAGATCGGTTTTCTTAGAGATTGTATAAGTAACCATTGGATATCCGAAGTGGTATTGGAGAACTCTTCGTCGCAGTTATATTTATCCTTACTCCAAATCCCTTAAACGTCACACTTTGAACCACATCGATTCCATTCTTTCATGTGTCCCAGAACTGGAGAGAAACACAGCACAACCATTCTCTGCGTTATGTGATTTGTCAAGTGATGAACGCCAGGCTTTCACTGAGTATATGAGAATGGTTAAGGAGAGGCACACAAAAGCTGTCCATTCAGATCTATTAAGTAGCCCAAAAGCCACTGAAATACGATGCAAATTTCCGGAAGATCCTGCTAAATTTGTGGCCAGTCACTCTTCAGTAACTTTATCTCCTAAACACCTGGAGGCGTTGTCTGTCGGGCCAAAATTCTGTGACATAAACCAAAACATTAGCAAGCTCCATACATATGTTGAGTGTAAAAATTTGATCAATCAGACTGGTGATCTTTTTTCAGTCTCTGAAGAGGAGTTCAAACGTTTTAAGTCAACAATTCTGGACTCATCCCATCACCGCCTTAATGCAAAGTCCAACTGACTGAAGAATACAGAACAGCTCAACCAACTGAGATGTAACAAGGAATTGCTGATCACATGCCCTAATAAGGGTACTGGCCTAGTCCTGATGGATAGAAAAGACTGCATTGATAAAATGTTAGCCATTCTTTCAGACAACAACGAGTTCGCTGAACCTGAAAAAGAGAAAGACAAAACGGAAATAACTGAAATGCAACTCACTGGGATATTGAGAAAGCTAAAAAGTGATCAACTTTGAAAATGTCTACGAGAGCATTCGATCAACCAGTTCAACAATATCCCGACTATATGGATCATGATAAACTCACAAACAGGGACTTCTGTTGCGCCCTATTTCGAACATGTCAAGATCTCAATACCATCCAACTGCAAAATGGCTGGCAGGACTCCTACAGCCTGTTAGAGAACACATTTCAAAATACTCTATTCGACACACGTTTAAATCCATCGACTGTATCAAAGATGTGAAAGTGGGCGACAATGTCCTGATTACGCAGAGGATTTGTTTATTATGCCTCAAATTTTCATTAGCCGCCGCCTAGCCATCAAATTTACAATTGAAGTAAAAGCTGGAGACTCCATTATGGATAAGATTTTATTTTGATAAATCACACAGTGTTGTACAGTAATATTAACTGATAATACTACTGTGCTGTACTGTTAATATTACTGTACAACACTGTGTGATTTATCAAAATAAAATCTTATCCATAATGGAGGTATGGTCTACCACAGTGCCCAAGTTTTATACTTATATCAATAAAAGCCGGAGAGACAATCTTATTCCTGGACGCCTGACTAACGAAGAACATTGATGGGACTTTGAACAGATCAATATATCGAAAGCCTAGGTGGAACGGCCAGTTGATAAACTTTTGCAATTGGGTACCCATCAATCGCAAGCGGAACCTGATAATATTTCTCACTACTGGAATCCGTAGAATCTGCGTCCCCGAATCAGTAGAGGAAGAGATCACTGTCTTGAGGAAGACACTGCTTGAGAATGGCCATTCATCATGCTTTATATATAAACACAAAGCCGAAAATCAACAACCCTTCTCTATGTCGAAGAAGATGCTACACATGAATGTGGCGTTCGAAGGCAACCTTTTGACCGATATCGTAAAGAGGAGAATATCTTACGTGATGAAAAGAACATTCTCTGCTGCTACATTACGATTGGTATTCTCATGCTACCCGTTGTTCTTCAACAACTCTAAAGATAAACTATCGCATTTGACCACTTCTATGTGTATCTACCAATTTACTTGCTCATGTGGAGGGAGATGTATAGGTCATTCGATGCGTGTTTTATCTAAAAGAGTCAAAGAACATTATCCCGCTTGGCTACGAAAAGTTAACAGTGGATCTATAGGGAGTGCTATAATTGAACGTTTATTCAACGCTAGTCATTCAATACGTAAGCAGAATTCATTCAAAGTCAAAAAAGCCTCCCGAAAACGGTAAGCTTCCGTATACTTTGCATTGCCAAGGCCTTAGCGATCCAGGTGGAAAACCCTGATATGTGTTCATAGAAGAAACTTGTCCATCCCCTCCTTCTACCTTGGGCATAATTCTAAGTTCGACTACTTTCTTATTAATAGTATTTGTGAATTTTTGTATAACATTTTAGTGACATCTTTTTCTTAACTAACTCTTATATTTACTCTTTCTACCTATTACATATCTTATTTTTGAACACTTGTCGCCATGCTCTTTCAATAACATCCTATTTTTCTGGATGTCTTTCATATTACGTAACTCTTGTCAATACTTACCAACTCACCCCTCTAGTTACCATTTAATTACTCGTCGCATTTTTGAAGTATAAATATGATTGTACAGCTCTTGGTTCGTTTAGAAGATTTTCTTCACCATGACGTATTCTTTTGTTTATGATTCAATATGAAAGTTTTCCATTCATAGTTGCGTAGACCTATCCAGATTTTAAGCAGGGAATTAGTTTCTGATAGAAACAACACTTCTTCATTGTAGAGTGATGTAAATACTGTCAGGTTGAGGTGCACAGTTTTCTAAATGACTTTTTTTATTGAGCATGGCAGTCACCATGATAACTTCAATTTCTTTTGCTAAATTGTTTGTCACCATAACTAAAAACCAGTGATCTGGTCTTAGCATTATTTATGCTATCATATGTAGTAATTTGTTATACATTCATAAGAGGTTGGTGGTAATATATGAAACAAAGGAAAGATGTTTGTTGAATGAAGGTGGCTATAAATAACATTTATCATACAGTTGGGCTGGATAATTTCTAGTCCATACCATGTATCATTCGTCTTATCTGTGCCAAGTTTCTCTTCTTTTCTCTACCTTTGTGTTCTACACGGAGAGTGGCAACTCGAACTGCTACACATCTGTGCAAAGTCAGTCAGTGTTAAGTATTTAATACGATAACAATCTGTACATTTCCTGAAACTTTTTATAGTAGTATTCCAAGTATTTTTTAAAAAAGTTTTACTTTTATAATACAGATTTAGTTTACGTGGATTTTAACTTAATTATATTTGATTTAGTTGAACTGCCATCAGCATCACACAACGATCTTCGACCACAAGATTGGCGTCAAGCTTTGATAGATCAAGTGCATCATTGTGAGCCTATGTACTTGTATATTTATGCATCAAAAGAAGACCAAGCTTCCAGTTGTGTAAATCAACCTGATGTATATTCATCTCATTCAGTATGCGAATCACTGTTGGAAAATTCCTTAGCTAGTGTTTTTGTACAACGAGATGCTTTCAAGCAGCGAAGTTCTCTTAATTCTGCTCTTCAAGATTGTACGGTATCCTTGTCATCGAAATCATTATCTAAGCGATCCAGTTTACAAGAAGCCTGTCCACCAGCAACTAATCTCAGTCCCAGTAGTATTTCGACTAATCGAAGGGAGTTGTTAGATTTACAACCTCCGAAGATAAAATTGATTCCTTCCAATACTTTGGTATTTCCATCTTGTGTTCATGGATGTTCAACAGAAGGTAATTTTCTTTCGTTTGTTTGTCCTACTACTGATTGCCTCTCTTCTTCGATATTTTGTTAGAAGAGTTCACATCCTTTCAAACACATTTGGGCGTATTTCACCTACTGACGTGAATTAAAATGTTTGTAGGGTAATTATTTTTGTAAGTAAACACTCCAAAGTTCAGTGAAAACTGTTAACTTTCTAAGGCCAGTCGCTTTCGTTCACATTTATCTTATATTAGGCTTTTAAAATGCGTCTTATCATGACGAGACACCTTCTAGTCCTAGTGTGGTGAGAGCTCTCTGCTAGCCGAAATTGGTAGACAGCAATTTACGTCAATGTTTACGTCTCAAATCGGGGTCATGAGAAAAAACAAGAACAAAGCCTAACCTTGAGGAACTACTCAACAACCAATCACAGTAGACTTAGCGTGGGCGGATACGATTAGCAGATATATATCACCGGACTGTCTAAGAAACAGCAACAAAGAGATGACAGAATAACCTTCAGCAGGAAAACAACCAATCAGAAGACGTTGCTTCTCTGCTAACAATAACGCTAATAATAATGTACATAAAAATCTATAAATATCTGTTGATTTTCTCAATAAACGATCTTTTGCCTGGCCCTTGTCGTCTGTCGTTACACTGGTAGTTTTAAACTTGCATGACCTTTATTCATCTACCTTTCATAGATGTGTCATCAATTGCATTTCCCACTGATTACAGTTTTATTATTCTTGGTTAGAATTTTTGATATCTAAGTGAAGGATGCTAATTAGAAAAGCAACGATTTATGTCGGCTTTAAGTTGGCGTTTGGCTTAACGCCGTCTTTTGTAAAAATGTTAATGAGCAGCACACGTAATGGTAGGAATTCACTGGACAATACATTTTCTTGTTGATTGGAGTTTAGTAAGCACTTACTCGTGTATCTTTTAGCTAAGCGTGCGTCGGTGGCACAGTGGTTAGGACTCTCGCCGACCATGCACATGGTCCGAAGTTCGATTCCCTGCCGACGCACACCTGATATCTGTGGTCGGCCTGCAAAATTTGGGCTACCGATATCACATGCTGAAAGTTCCATACCTGTACCGAAAAATACGGTGTGAAATCAAGCCGTAATCGAAAAAAATCGAAATAAATGCTAGAACACTGTTGTATATGAAACAAAGTTGAGAATTTGTGCAAAGAATTATTCGGGATCATTTGTTATGTTTGGCTTTTTCGGTATATACAAGGCCTCTCTTGACTATACGCAGGCGTGGATACAGATGACATAAAGCGATCGGATTGATAATAATAATAAATTACTTTATTCCAAAAACAGTACTTATAATACAGAATGGAATTCTCAGTATTTGTCACAATATTGCATCTGATTTACTCAAAATATATATAAAATTAAAACAAAATTAATCGGAGGAAATTGTCCACATTTACGACATAATTATTAGATATATTAATAATAATAATAACAGTTAGTTTGTTTCAAACGGTGTTGTCGATTCAGCATGTTATAGATTATTGGGTCTAATGTTCTATTAATATAGTATGGTGAGGGGAAATACAAAATTAACAGTCATAATACAGCTTGAAATTATGACCACACTTATGAAAAAAAATAAACAAAACGAAAAAATTGAGAGGATTATAAATATAAGAAATACAATGACAATAAAGTTTGATGCTTTAAAAGTGAAGGAAATGGTTTATTTAGTGGTGCAAAGAAGGTTAGTTAGTTATGTCTGACACTATTTTTATCACATAAATTACGTGCTAAATATGGTATAGTGGAATTTTTATACTTAGACGTACGTGCATAAAGTCTTCTGAAATGACTTCTTGTTTTACCTGAGGAGACACAAAGTTGGAGCTGCGGGTAGAGTGGGTGCTCAGAGTCTGACAAAATTCCTTTAGCAAATTTGTTGCATGATATCAAGTGCCTATCAGTGACAGTGTCAACGATATGGCACAATGGGATACCACTCGTCCTACTGACGGTCAGTCTTCAGAGTTCTACGAAGTATGACATAGTCCTTTTTAAGCAATCCAGGAAAGAATAAGGGTGAACAGTAAAGAAGAATAGGTAAAATATACGAGTTGATAAACTGTAAGAGGAGTGGTTGAGTTATGCCTGAGTGCCTTAACTTCCTAATGTAAAAAGTCAAACGAAATATTCTTTTAGAAATCGCTAAGACATGAGAGGACCAGGATAGGTCAGAAGAGAGAATTAATCCAAGATACTTAACTTCAGACTTGCTTTCTATATCAGTATCATCGATTTTGCAAGGGTCATAGGAACCAACGGCTTCATTTAACTTTCGTTTACATCGGAAATTGAAATTAACAGTCTGACATTTGGAAGGATTAAGTTTAAGGCCGTTAGACGAAGACCATTTGCTAATTTCTGATAGAAAGCTGTTTATCTTAGTGCAGTCAGGCTGAGAGTTAACAGACATTGAAATAGTTAGTTAACCCTAAGAACAATAGACAGCTTTCGGCGGTACCATTAAACTGGTGAATGTCCGCCAGTGGTCCTCTTTGTCACCTTGACGGGAAGTAAGTAGTCGTAGAGCCCTGTATTGTTTTTAGTTGGCACTCTTCTCAGCAAGAGGAAGCAGGAATACAGCGTAATGAGTGTCAACCGCGAAGAGACGTGGAAGTGAATGAGTGAATCAAGGCTAGATTCAATACTGGAAATTTCAAAGATTGATGATGAGTATTTAGCGCTAATCTAATCATCATTTATTTCCATATAACAGTTATAATAACATCTCATTTCTTGTCTTTCTTCCAGCTTCTTTTTCAGTAAGTTTAGTAGAACAAACAAGCAACTTTCCGATTCCATCCAGTAGTGATTCTCCTTCATTATGGAAAGTGTTTTGGTCAGCCAATCCTGTGACAGATGTACAAGTTAAACGGCCTACTGTGCATTCTTCATGTTCAGTAAGCAAAAGGCTGACTTTGGGACGGGATGTATTTCAGTTGATGCATACAAAGGCTGATTCACTCAAGAATAATTGTTGTCAGTCGACTGATAAATTTGCTATCCTGTCATCTGATCCTAACAAAGCTGGACATGGTCAATTGGTTATACCCTTTCGTTTTACACCTGTTTCATCATATGAAAATACAATGTTTCAAGATTGGCACCTTAATTTTTGGATAGAACCATCATACTCACAGAATAAACCTCGTCATGAAGTACGATATAACCCAAAAGATTCGGTTACACTTTTAGTCACTTTAGAAGGTTCGGTAAGTATAAGTTTGTGTGCAAGTTTGTCCTCTTTTGTTTTCGGAAGTTTTTCCTGATTTAAGGTGTTTAAGTGGAGACTGATTTCGAGATTAAAAAATTGAGTGGTGGTGATGCTTTGATAATGTTAATTATTTCAACGTGTGTTTACATTTACTGTGTTGACTGTACAATAAAGTTAAAGATTGAATGTAACTCTAGGTAAAGCTTTAAAATATCCAGTATACGATGTCACTTACATATTTGGAATGAAAACACGTTTAGAATAAAAGAATACAGATGTTTCTAATGTGTTGGCATTGAATTTATTTATTTATTATTTATTTAAACGCACAAAAAAAACCTGGTACAGTATGGCACCAAGAAAGATGCCCCACACAATAATAATAATAATAAAACAACATAGATTAAAAGTAAAAATATAAGTAGAAAACGGATAAAGAACTTCATCTGGAAGGAAAACAGTCATGTTTAACAAGTTCAAACAGTATTCGTTAACTATCATCAGGAAGGGAAGAAAGAAGGAAATTGCAACACGTTCGCCATTGATTACGATTCTTGGCCATATCCGATAACGTTTCGAGCCATCGATTTGAGCTATCTCGCGGACCCCAACCAGGGAGTCGTGACACCTAACCGATGCTAATCTAGCACAAATATCCTTCATCCCACGACGCCACGTCATGGACTGACCACCCCTCCGCCTCTTCCATCCCGTCCCAGGGCTAGCGAACAGAGACCTGTACGGAAGCCTCTGGGATGACATTCGCAGCACATGTCCAAGCCACCGGAGCTGGTGTTTCCAGATGACGACACTCAATGAATGGTGATCTCCACTGTGTTCAAACACACGCTGCCGAACCTCAGAATTACTCACGCGATGATGCCATCGAACGCAAGCAATCCTGCGGAGACAGCGATTATCGAACACGCAGAGTCGCCGCACATCCTCAGCTCGGAGAGGCCAGGTTTCACAGGCGTAGAGCAAGACAGCCCGCACTGAAGCATTGTATACCCGACCTTTGACAGCCAGGCTAACGTCGCGACGGCGCCAGAGGTGGCTCAAGTTGATGTATGCCACCCTAGCCTTCATTATACGTTTGGAAATCTCATCCGTCACCCCTCCGCCAGCACTCACACAACTACCCAGATACACAAACTTATCAACAACTTCAAGCGGTTCACCGGCAAGAGTGAGTGCAGGTACAGGCTCCTGCCAATCTTGTAACAGTACTTTGCACTTAGACGGTGCAAAGCACATACCATACTTAGAGACACTGAAACTTTATTTCTATTTTTAAACTGCTTGATCTGGGCATATCGGCACTTGTTTTTTTTATCGGTAAAATACCCATTTGCCCTTTTATAATATGTGCCTGTTGTTAGGGCGTCTACTTAATCAGCCCATGTGGTTTTCAACAAAAATGAATTAATCAATTATTGGTTTGACAAATTTTCACTGTGTGTAATACTTAACTTAATTCTCATTTATCTTCTCTTTTAGTGCTGTAAACAACCTACGCTAAATAAAAGATCTCCATGCGCTCATCTACAAAACACATGTAACAGCAAACTTGAAGTATCCTCTTCACTGTCCAAAGATCTCACATTCAATGATCGTAATGTGTCGTTGTCGAAAGAAATTGCTGCAAAATCTGTTCCTATAGGTCTACTTGATATTGTCGGTCTACCGGTTAAATTTGAGATCATAGATTCAAAGTCTACAACCAAAACTCGTTTCCACAATGTAAGCTTTTTTTATGTTCATTTAACATTTAACATAACACTTTATGTTTAGCATTTTTGTTGGCTTGTTTTTTCTAAACAGATATATTTCACTGTGTGAGTCACTGTCATCCTTTCTGCTTCATTGCTAGATTATGCTGATCAATCGCTTGAAGACAGCAGAGGTTTTCGTCAAACTGCAACTTCCAAATCCACCATTTTATATGACAGAACCAAACGAAACGAGATTTCGTATCGCGTGAGTATCACTTAATTAATTTTAACAAAATTCCACATGTTTTATGCACACTAACTAACTAACTAACTAGATTATGAATACAGAACTCTACAGAACAGTGTATCAGTTCAGGTTGCCACATTTCGGAGTAGCACTAAAAAGTAACAAAAACAAGCGTAATTAAACTATAGAAGACGAAATTTTACGGGAAGGAGCAATTAGATGACGACTAATGAAGATTTTCGTCATCTTGATAAAACATTTGCGTCATTACGAGCGATTTTAAACCGATCACTGATTTTTAGCATCGCTAAGATCTCAGTACTCGAATTGCAACATTCTCATTTGGTTATCTCTGGATTTCTCAACCTAGTCGTACTTCAGCTAACTTTGTTAGTCGAGAAAAGCTGTGGTCCGGTATGTGTAACACATACTAGCCCTTGTATTCGATAGCGTTTGACTGACTTCCTCTCATTACGCCTAATTAATTATCATGTTATTCTATATAACCCAAAGATACTGGTGGTCAGATACTCCTAGTCTTATATTAACCTCTATCTTCAACTGCATGTCTCACAAATATGGAGTAAAACCTAGTAAACTTCTGATCTTTGCTTGTTCTCTTACGGATGGGCACTAGGAAAATTCCTTTTCATTGAAATTCACTCAAGCAAATGAGTTCCGTAATCGCTAGTATGTGCTACACCAGCAAGGGCGCGAGGATTATCTCGTCCGATGGATTTTCTTTTCATCTTGGATTGATAAGGTGAGAGGATAACTGTACCTATGTATGGTCTATAAAGGTACAGTATACACTCAAACTCTGAATTTTGTTTAATAATAATAAGGAATGATGTTAATCTGACTCCAAGCTCTAGACAAAGAGAAACGGAAAAGAGACTGTCTGGTGAGTAGTAGTATTAGTCAGACTAGTATCTTAAGCTGGTGGGAGATGTACATGGAGATGCATATACCATGGCAGCTTATACCTTCTAGTACAAAAAGTGATAAGAATTTACAGAATCTCATATATATATATATATATATATATATATATATATATACTAGTTATTTATAGGATCACTAGTTTTACCGACAGTTTTACTCACCTACTCCACATACTTTCCCATCGTTGTTTTGAAATGTGCTCAGACACTGCAAACTGTTTGACAAATATATAAATTTTTTTTAAACTCTCTTTCGGAAACTTTAGGCCTCGTTCTCGTGTAAAGCTAGTGCTTAGCTTTCAACCTTACGATTTGGGACGTGCAAGTTCAGTTTTGGGAATTCGTGTTGAGTGCCGCAACCAAACAGAAGCCGAAAAACCAACTGTTGATACATTTCAAATTCACTTATTTGGCACAATGAACTAACTTTGCTTTCTTATATTTCGCACCTACATGTATATTTCTATTGTGATCTTAATATTTAGTAAATAGCATATGAATTTTAATACACCATTATTTCCTGTGGCTTCATAACTTTTTCTCTCATTGTGAGGGACAAACCACACACACTATTTGAATTTAAAAATCCGCAAACTTTAGAAATAAATGTAAGATCATATAGAAAAACGATTGCAAGCTATACGTATCTGTAAGACAGGTTGGTGGTTGACAACATCAGTAGATTAGGTCAGAAGATCGACGGTCCTAAACATCCATCGACAAGCGAAGTTAGAGCATGGTCATCTAAACCATCCTGTTGATTAGTACACGTGTCGCGAAGTCCTTAATTATTCATTTCCATTCCTACGCAAGCATACACAAAAAAGCTTCGCGCATTCCGGAACCACTAAAAGTAATTAAAATGTATTGACTAGTGCAAGTCGCTACACTTCTCAGCAAATATTTTAAGAGAAGCTGAAATACGTAGTAGGACGAAAAACAAAGCTGGTGATAGGTAGATTACTTAAGAATACTAAAATTCTCGAAATATGAGTACTGGATGCTTTTATGAACCTGATATAGCTACTGAATCTATTCTAGGCAGCTAGAAGGTTTTAAACCGATCTGAATTGAGCTGTTGGTACGCTGCCACTTGGCTTAACCGTATAAATTTATTTAGAATAGGAACACGTGAATAGAAAAATAGTTTTTATTATTTACAACTTCATATCACTCAGATGTAGTAAAAATTCTGCCTCTATCACGAGCTTTACGAATTTTTTTCGAAAGCTTCTTTGTCCTTCTTGCTTGGATATTTGCTGTTCTTTTCATTTGTTTCTCACGCATCTTTTGTTCAGTGGCTTCTGTGCGTTTTTTCCAATTTATAGCACTTTTCCTCTTGAGTTTTTGTACTTTTTTAGCTGACTTTTTAAGCAGTGATATGTCATCTTTAACCTTCACACCTCGAATAATAACAGACTAGTTACAGTGAATTTGTCTTACCTTGAGCTTTAAGGGATGCGATCCTCCACTTCTTACGTATCAAATCGTTGGATGTTATCTCTGAGTTACTGGAAGCTGATTCGGAGATCTTGGTAGCTTTTTTCAACAAATTTATAGGGTCTTTGCCGATAAATATTCCTTCTCTCTCGAGTTTTGCCAGTTTTCTCCTCTTCTTTCGTTGGAATTGTTTTTGTATTCCATAGTTTGTAATTTCATTTGGATCATAAAGTTCGATTTTAGAGAAATAGTATTTCTCAGAATCCATCTTATGACTTTACACACACATGGACAGATAATATGAGTATTATACTACCTACATAACCTATGAATGAAAAAACCAAACAGTGTAATGGATAAGTTAGAAAATGACAAAATAGTGCAACTCTGAATTTATTTCATTTTGCATTTACCAACACTAAGAAAAATGGTGTCCACTCATATATTTTTTCTTTGGCTAGTTGTTCAGTATTCCATCAGTCACATGCTGTCCGTATTTTCTGACCAGTTTACAATAAATGACAGAAAAAAGCGTTGCCGAGTATACACTTAAAGCCCTACGTGTTTTTTTTTCTTTTCGTTCAGCAGTATAGAAGCAGAACTCACTTATTATTTAAAGTATGGTACAAAGTGTTTTTATGTACAATACACG